TATGCACCTAAATATAACTGATCAATTGTTCTAATAGTTGTCACTGTTGTTTCTTTTTATTCTCCACGAAAACAAACAAAAAAAAAAAAAAAAAAAGTCCGCGAAGTTTCACGGGCAATTGCCCCGTTACGAAATGGAGGATGGGAATAAAAAATTTGCGAAATATTGGCGGAGGAGAAATATATAAGAAGATCATTGATTAATCGAACGGAAATAGAATTTGTGTCCATCAAAGTGTGTTGTACGATAGAGCGTATAGTTAAGAATAAAATAATTTATGTATATTCGTATATGCACATTTTCATGGTTGGCTAATTGTTGTGACGATTGTACTGTTCGGGAGATCGCATCGCAAATCGTCCACTTATATTCACACGAGACTTAAAATTCCGGCCTTTTTAAAGCTAACATCGTAGTATGGTTAGTTCCAAGTGCATGTATATATGTTTCAGATTTGATAAAGCGTCGCATTGTGAGGTCTATACGCGTAATATGCGTTTTTCTCATGTCGCGAAGTACACATGTATTTATTATATAGTATACGTTATATTTGATTGATTTTCTACTTTTATATCACGCTTTTAGGAGTCAATGTGTGTGTTTTAATATATATTACTTAACGTATGATTGTACCAATGGCTGTGAGCTCAAATATCATCGTAATTACTTAAACACGTATAGCGCAATCGTCACCAACAGCCACTGCAAATAACGTATTAGATGTACGAATATTCTTTTTTCTATTTATAATAAATATGATTTTTACGAATCATTTGGCCCACACTGAGAGGGAAAAACTATATAAATTTTAGGGAAATTATTTTAAAAAATACACTGCTCTAAATAGTAAATTGTATTACAAATGACAAAATGGAAAAATTATTATTGAAACAAAAAAAATTTTTGTTCAAATAGTAAAAATTATAGTTAACATAGTAAATATTACAATTGTAGCACATACATTTTTACGATTCCATTAAACAGAGACTTTATCTGTTTTGGCATCTTAATTAGAACTTACGCTGCAGAACAGCCATTTTTGATATAATATCCTTATAATTTTTTATAGATTTTCCTCTCAGTGTAGAAACTAATGCATGTGTACGTCTTGTACATATATTTTTTTATTTGTACACAAATTACGATAATTATATACGTGTCAGAGTTAAAGGAATAAAGTGCTCGCTTGGAGCCTTTAAAACCATATGAAGACGAGATCGACGACGACGATGACGAAAAGGGTATGGTAACATTGTTTTATAAATAGATAATAAAATAAATGTATATATTATGGTACAACAGTATTCGCTCGGTCGCTCGCCCACTTTCCCTCCAACGGTACACCGTCACCTTCCATATTCTTCCGTTGCGAGGTTTATTGATGATCGCACGTACAGTCTTAAAGCAGACTCATCTTCCAGCAGCGTAGGTGATAGGCTACCTCTTGCACCCTGCAACAAACATAAGCACATCGTGAGTGACAGAAAATAAATGATTGCATACATGAGTCGTTAATTTATTTTATTATGACCCGTATTAATTATAAAAGAGACTATGAGCAAATACATATCAATAAATTGGTAAAAAAACGCTGTTTAAAAATATGGGTTGAGACTAAAGTATAGTTCTTATTCTGTTTCATGATTCTAGTTGACCAATATTTTGCTGTACATTTATGATTTTTGTTATATTTTACATAATATATTCGAGTTTTCCAACGAGTTGACAGAATAATTTTTTCAATTTGGACTATTTACTATAAACTGGTTGAACACATAGTATGGATTTGCTTTGTTTTTGGACAAACAGCCTAGTCGTAAAAGCAAAAAAAAAAACAATAACTCATACAAACTATGGCATCTCGATCAGTTATTCTCTTGAAATTAAATTGGTTAAAAGAAACTCTAACTTCTAACGATTCGAAATTTTCTACACATGTTTTTGAAAGGTAAATGCACGAGGTAGTATAAACAAATTTCTAACTTTCTAAAAATTGATCGATCGAAATCTTGACTTTTAGATTAGAATTATTTTCAGGAACACCATTTCACTTTTGACAAAAACTGTAAATAACTTAACAGTACGAGTAAAATATCTAAAATATTTGGGCCTGATTCGTTAGATATTATTCGAGTACTTATTAGCAAGTTGAACGTAACTTCGTGGTAACTGCCCAAAAATTTTTGTAGTACATCTCGCAAGTATAGCCTTATTGCCAGCGTCTTAATTGTCGACGATTGTAAAACTTGAATTATGGTTAATGAAGCATTCATTATCGACAAGTAATTCTTCCTGTCAGTAATTTATAATAGTGTTTATTTAGCTACACTATCGATTAACATCCAAGTCAATGTGCATTATATGGACGCATCGCATACATAATATTTTTCTTTCGCGAAAAGAGAAATACTGTATACGCCCGATAGGCGCCCACGCGTGTCTGAGTTTCACAAGGCGCCTTCGAGTGAAGATGATTGCAAATCAATGTTGCAGCTCTGAAGACGTGCTCGCACGCACGTACATACGTATATTTTGATGTAGAATAACTCTTGCAAACTCGATTTTTCACACTCGGCACTCCCTGGGCATAGGTACGTACATATACATTTTGCTTCCTACTTTTTTACGCTCTCGACGAGGAGTATTTTTCACATACCCCTTGTAGTCTAGAGGCTAGCTATACAGTTAACCGCGAGATTCATAGATCCGCCAAGTCTCTCTAACTTATGTTTTGCGGTATGATTTTATGAATTTTTTTGTCAAAAACCACAAAGTATATGTATTTATTTCTCGTATTTTTTTGCTAAAACTGTACAGAAAAATAAAAAAAATATTTTTTATTTGTTTAAGTAATTATTAATAATGATTTTCTTTCCGCTTTTAATTGAAATCACACGTGGTATTTAAAGGCAGCAGATCAAAGTTCGTAATAAAAATATTGATTTAAAACAACAGAGAATTAAGTTCCTGAACAAGTAATACCGATATATTAGCTCAGGTTTAAAAATTGTATGTTGTTGTGTTGTACTCTGATTTCACGTACAAAGTTTGGCGTTAAACTTTTCCACTAGTAAAAAAAAAATAATAATAATAGTATTGGTTTAGCAAAAAGACGGAGCAAGTGGATGAAAAGCGACCAACTCGATATATGTACAGGCTACGCTGTCCGCGAAGTTTCACGGGCAATTGCCCCGTTACGAAATGGAGGATGGGAATAAAAAATTTGCGAAATATTGGCGGAGGAGAAAAGAAACATTTCGGACGGGAAAATGGTCGTTTGGACGAACGGACTAAACTTGGCAACGCAACAGTATGTCGTGATATAACGAAATTTGTTGGTGCTATGTATAAATGTATATTATATACGTAACGCGAAGTACAGTGGCGCGGAACAGTGAACACTTTGAGCGTTTAACGAGCCCGAAAAACGTGGAGTCAACATTTCGCGCGGGTACAGCAGCATACATGGGTCATTTTACAAAAACCACATTATTCCGTGTCCCAGTTTGTTTATCTGCGAACTTATTTTAAGTATTTATTTACATCATTTTTATCTTAATACATGTTTCGAGAAAAAGGTCAAAAACTTTATATGTGGCTAAAATGTCATTTCTGTGATAAAATTTTTTTTTATTCTACTTTATTACAGGTTATTGCCAA